ACTTTATATTCATCAAATTTGAATCTAATCCGACCCAAAAAAATTTTTATTTCTTATACCTAAACCCGATCGATCCGATATTATATAAATCATACCTAACCCTACCCGAAATTAATAAATATTATTTTTAAATATTAGTTTTTTAAAATATAAATATTTAAATATATAATTATATAAATATATAAATAAAAATTAATTAAATAAAATAAAAAATAATTTTTATATAATATCGGATCGGGTCAGATCGAGTTTGCCTAAAATTTGAACCCGATTCGACCTCAATTTTTTCTTAGCTTTACCCAATTCGACCCGACCTGAAACTCGATTTTAAAAAAAAAATATCGACCTTAGGAGGTCAAGTCTAATCGAAACCTACCAATGACGGGTTGGATTGTCGACCCTAATAAAACAATCCCTAGAAATTCAATCGAAAATTGGGTTTACTATTAGTTTTTGAAAAATTGATTGGAATTTGGTCGAAAAAAATCAAATTCATGCAAAAAAAATTCATCGAAAACTTTAAATATTCATCGAAAAATTTATCCAAACCCAAATTTTTCTAGAAAAATCTCAAATTTCCGCAAATTTGCTCAAATTACTCCTCGAATCTTTTAGAACCTTAATCCAATCTCTAGAAACCTAAATCTAATCCAGAATCTTCAAACAAACCCAAAATCAAAAATCAAAATCCCAAGACATCTATTCTACCAAAAACTGTTTTTCAAACATGCAATAACTAAAATTTTCCTAATTTTCCACCGTTACCCTCTAAAATCACTCCATTCTTCATATTCTGAGGATTATTCAATTTATAGGCATCTTGAGAAAAATTTTTGGTAACGGATAGAATCAATCCTAGGGTTCAAGCCTGGATTGGTTCTTAGATTGATTTTGCCCGAGCATAATTCTTAGCTAGATTTTGATGAAACTGAAAGCCTTTGATTTGGGTTCTGATTTAAAATCCATTGACCAAAGAAATTGAATTCAATCCAAATCGATTTCCTTGATTATCTACGATTAAGAAAAAAAAAGAAAATAAAAACAAAAAAATAGTAGTAGTAATATGATATAACACCATATAATACACTAATAATAATAATATAATAATGATACTATAATATAGTAATAATAATTATAACAAAAATAATAAAATACGATCCAATTGACCCTAAACATGATCCAATTAACCTTGGATACGGTCTGATTGATCTCGGACACAGATGAGTGTTTCCAAGGTTTCATTTTAGAGTTTTAAGATTTTATGATTTCTTAGTTTTAAAGTTTCAGGGTTTTGGAATTTGGTGTTTTAGTGCTTTAGAATTCTAAGGTTTTCGGGATTAAAGGGTTTGAAGTTTTGAATTTTAGGTTTCGAATTTTAGGATTTTAGATTTTAAAAAAATAATATGAATATTTTTACAAATCCTCAACATCTAGATAGATTTTCAAAACAAACTCATTTTTTATGATTTCCCAAAAATTAATCTTTATATAAAATTTTTATATATTTTTCTTTTTTTCTTTTTCCTAAAAATTTATCATTATCATTTTTATTTATTATTTATTTATTTTATTATTTAATAATTTTTCAACATCTAGACGAAATTGTTTATTATTATTATTTTTAAAGATTTTGATTTCCTCCAACATTTAGGTAGCGTTTTCAAAATTATTAATTTCTTACTTAAAAAATATAATTTATCTTTATTTCCATATCAATTTTTTTTTCTAAAGAAAATCATTTTGGAATCATGAAATTACTATCTCTTACTTTTTATTCAATATTCTTTTTTAATTTATTAATCATCTTTAAGAAAATTAATTTTCAAGAATGTATTTGCAATTTTATTTATTTATTTATTTATTTATTATTATTATTATTATTATTTTTCACAAGTGCTAATATAATGTTAACAAGCACAAATAATGATTAAGGGCTCATAAAAATAAATGAACAAAAATGAAAAAAGAAATATATCCCAAATGAAGTCTTTAGCATTGAACTCAAAACAACAACAAAATGGCTTAAGCTTGACAGTCCAATTCAAAAAAGCAGATCACAAACTGGGTCTGGGCCAAAGGAGTCAACAAAGTGGTTAGGTTTCTTATTAGGTTTGATTCGATCAACCTTTTTTTAAAAAAAAAACACTATAAATGTCAAAATTTTTTTAAAAAATTCATTTCAATTTCCTGTTTTTACAAAAAAAAAAAATCATCTGGTTAAAAAAAAAAGATTTTCTAAGCCTTCAAGATTTTGGCCAAAAATTGCCACCCTACCACCGATCGGTTGCCTTTTTTTTTCAAAATTTAGCTATGACTTCCTCTTTTTGTTCTTTTCACAAATTCAAGTTTCGTTTTGCATAAATTTAAATGGATTGTCCTAGATTTGCAACCAAAATTTATGGCATCTCACCTATGTTTCACCGTATCTCACTGTTTGATTTGGCTAATTTTTTAGTATGTTCTTTTTGTCCCTTTCCTCATCGTTTTCACCATCCTTGATCGTCCAAAAGAAGCCGTCGTCATTCATGTAGTGCTACGTTGCCACTGTTTTGAAACTGCCTATGATGTTTTTCTTTTTCTTTCTCTGGCTTCATTGTGATTGCTTTATCTTTCACCAAGCTCAAGCCTAACACACCTTAACCTTCACCTAAACCCAAAACCCCTTACCTACCCTAAACCTATTTTTTTTTCTTTTTTTGCTTATGGCTTTTTGGCATTGCATCTCCCTACGTTGGATTATGTGATTGTTGTGATTTTTTTGTGTGTATTTTTTATTAGTTTAAATAGTGGCTGTAGTTTTTCTTTTAAATGGAGTATTGGGTTATAGGTGATTTTTGATACTTGACAATGGTGGTTTTTAGGAAGGTTGAATGTGTGTATATGGAGATGTGAGATTAACAATGGGTTGGCTAGGTTTCAATTAAGAGTTTTTTGTGTGGTCGTGTTGACGGTGATTGGGGTATGTTTTTAGCTGAAAGTCTGTGAGTTTTATGGTTGGTCGAATGGTACCCACCACGAGGCTGAACGGCTAACTGTGGAAAGAGTTTGGGTTCAGGGTTAATTCTGGGATAGATCTTTTAAGTGTTAATTCATTGTGTTTTTTGTAAGGGCGTGATGAGTTTTGGTGTTGATGGTAGAGGCCAAATGGAAGGTTTTCTTTTTCTTTGCTATCTTGTTTTGTCCCTTCATTTTTTTTAATGAAAATTAGCCTCCTTTTTTATTAGGAATCTGAGCCAGCATTTCTTAAAAAATTTGTTGTAAAGTAAAGTGATTTTTTTTTCCAAGCAGATCACAAAATTTTAGCCCCTTGTTATAGTAGTTTTAGGGTTGATATCGTGTGAGGAATTTGTGCTTAAGGTAAATGGGGGTAAAACAAGAGGTGAAAAAAAAAAAGCAGAAATGAAGAGGCAATTTTGAAGAAGAGAACTTTAGGAAAAATGGCTCATGGTAGAAGAAGTTTTTATCTTTTTGTGATTTTTGTTGTAATAATAATAATAATAATAATATTATTATTATTATTATTACTGTTATTATTATTATTTTTTAAGTGATTAATTTCAAATAAAATGAAATTGAGTCTTCAAAATTGAATTTGACCTCATCATTTAGACTTTAAGCTTTTTAATTGGGTTCTCAAATCTTAATTAAAATTGATCCAATAATAAAATTGAATTAGATTTAGGTTTATCCAAAAATAATTAATTCAAAACAAAACCTAATCAATTCAAATCAATTAAAACACTTTAATCGGTCGAAACTGAAATGTTCGAATCAAGAATAAAATCGTACACATTAGAATTAATTCGGATAAAATTATGTGTTTACAATCATAACTAACAAAAAAAAATTGATAATGACTCTCTTCGATTTTGAAACTTTAAAAATTTTGTCTAACAATCCCCAAAATTATTATGATAAATAAAAAAGAAAGTGATTAATTCTCATATTTTGTATCTAAGAATATAAAAATTCACTAATGCCTTTTTTTATCCAAGGGATTTTGGAAGATGGGGATGGCTGGTATCGAACCTATGCTTTACATATCTTCTTTAGGTTTCTTAACCATTAGGTCAAGAAATTGAAAAAAATTATAGGAATGAAATTAAACCATATAAATCGACTTAAATATGATCCCTGTTTTGGAATTGACATGTAATTAAATTTGTGACTAATTATGATGACTTAATTATACAAGAAAAATGAATTAGAAGAAACATAAGTAATGATTTTATCACATATATCACTAGCTAGTATTAATGATGCATGATTTATGTTCATAATCAAATCCTAATATAAAAATATAACTTTCTAGAGAAACAAATAATTATATTGATGCTTAATATAATTATTTGCACATCACTATCCGATGCAAACATTTGTGGGTGTTTGCATCTATATATTATCAGCATCTCATTTTTTTTCAGGTTTATCATACCAAATATCCTATCAAAAGTTGACATTCTTCCCTACTACAGTTACATGAAAATTATCGAGGGACATTTTCGTTCACAAAAAATGAATAATATATCTCACTTTCGGCAATGTCTTGGCTTATTTAAATATTTTGAGTTTTATCGATGAAATTAATAAAATCAATAAGAGTTAAATATTTTATTTATAAATTTTAAATTTAATTTTTATCATCAACAATTTTTTTAATAAATAATTCATAAATTCAATATAACTTATCGTTGAAACTTGCAATATACCCTTATTCAAAAAAATGTAGCTTCCCTTTACCTAAATTTCTCATAAAAAAATATTTTGAGTTTTGCAAGATTCTAAGAACAAAGTAACTAGTTAAATAGTTTGAAGAAAACCACACAAGTCACTATCAAATCAAGGGTGATTTAGGTGGCATCAACCCAAATATCACAAGGAACCTTCACCTTTTTCATATCCTTTTCCTCATTCTTTTTCTTTTCTAATATTTAATAAATATTTTAATTTTCTAACTCTCACCACTTTCACCCATGGCCTAGCCCTATATATACGTTCATGAGAGCTTCGAATCCATCACAGATCAAGCCTACTACTACAACAATTAACCAACATTTGCTCCAATCTCTAACATTCTCTTTGAAACTAATTCTTGATTTTTCCATATAATTAGTCATCTCCGGTTTTTTCTTTTTATTTTTATTATTTATAAGCTTGAAACCATTCACGTTTTGTCAACCTTTTTTGTGTATCAAACAAGCGAATTTCTTAGTTAAATTTCAAAAATATTATTAATTTGATTAGAGAGATGGATCGCATAGCGAAACTGGCATCCCAGAAGGCGGTGGTGATCTTCAGCAAGAGCTCATGTTGCATGTGCCATGCAATCAAGAGATTGTTCTACGAGCAAGGGGTGAGTCCAGCAATTTATGAGCTCGATGAAGATGCAAGGGGCAAGGAAATGGAGTGGACTCTAATGAGGCTAGGGTGCAATCCATCGGTTCCGGCAGTGTTTATTGGGGGCAAATTTGTTGGCTCTGCCAACACCATCATGACCCTTCAGCTCAATGGTTCCTTGAAGAACTTGCTCAAAAATGCAGGAGCTATTTGGCTTTAATCAGAGTGCATGGAGATGTTGCCCCTAGTCCTACTGGTTTCTAAGTGAAATTAAACTTGTCTGTATTTTCCCTTTATTTTAGTATTTAGCCGGCTATACCTTGCATTTAAAATAATCTATAGAGTTCAATATATCTCATATCTACTTATGCTCTGAAATTTGGAACTCTTTTTTGAAGTCTACTCTTGAAAGTCAAGCCTTTTTTTCCCTTTCGGTTGACCAAATAGTTCTTCAAGTTGTTGTTATACTTGCAATTAATATCATATAAAAAATAGTCAAGCTTTTCAAATTTCAACAGAATTTTTTTTTTTGCAAAAGAAGTCGTAATTTAAGAATAAAAGAAGAAAATGCAGGTATTAAAATATAAATTTCCAATAGTTTGTTAGATGACACCTCAAACCAATTGAATTAAATTTTGAATTCAAAAAATTTGTATTTTTATATAAAACTTTGATTTCCTTCACTAATATTTGATTCTGTCAGGCTATGAGAAGCAGATGCAATCGGAAGGAGTAGCACTTTTAAGATGCCTAATGAGGAATCAAAGCGTGTTTTGCTGTCATAAATTAATATTCCAATTCCATGAAAGGCTGCCATATATAGAATCCAATATTCTCCTTGATGACCCTTGCAATATTCACTCAGAAATATTTACATACATATACATACAAACATATATATATATATATATGTACAGAGAGAAAGAGAGAGAGAGACGTGGCAGAAGCTTAAAGAATTTAACAATGTCATTTCGAGACATAAATATATGCATATATTCTTTGATAAAACCAAAGCTCGATTTGTGAATTATATTATTGTTAGTGTTGTTCCTTCTGTATAACACCTTTCCATCCTGGAGAGGTTCATTCACAGTTCCGGAATTATGCCTCAAAGTTTAATCATCTAAAGATTAATCATAACATATATATAAGTATGGTTTCCAATTGAATCATTTCCTCATTTGGTTTTAGGGTTTTTTTTTTTCCCTTTCTCTTTGTAACATTGGCCTTTGCAAACCACCATCGCAGGATCAATAATTTTTTCCCATTTAAAACAATTTTTAGATCAAATTCTTGTTCTCATCAGCATTCTTGGGGTGGGTTTTTTCTTTTTTTAACAATATTCTGACAAAAAGAATTAATGTTTATGCAAAACATTCCAGTTTCCATCATTTATGTGCCAAAGGGGAAGCCTTATATTGGAGAATTTTGCTTAGCTACGTCAAGTCTTTATAAAGTCTCATTGTCATTTTCGGTAAAGCATTCATTCAGATTTTAGTAACATCTACCAGACCTAAAATTAATTATTCTATGCTTTGATTATATCAGCATCCAACACTTCATCCTATAAGTAGAAATTTCATGTTTAATTTTTGCTTGTTCTGAATATTGCACTAGTTTATAATGATTAATGATCAGATTATATTAGCTGTCTGATTCCGTTTTTTAAGGGAAAACCAAGCATATATAGTTCCCATATTAGGTACGTAACTGTGTTATTCGGACTCGAGATAAATATTGGTTATATGTATGTCTTTTTTTATATTTAAAAGATCGAATCTCCGTAACATTTTCACAAATATATGTCAAACGCAAATATTTAAAAAAAAAATGTAGAGTCGTAGTAACATAACATAATTTGGTAGTCTACTTGATGATTAGGATTAGGCAAAATATAAACACATGATTAAAGTCAGCAGTTTATTGAAGGTAGGTATATATCTCTTTCACAAATCCAAGTCCATCTTCTTTGAGGACATAAAAATGAAGAAGATTGTGATAAAAAAGTAACTTGGAAAGCTATAGGCACTATTTTGAGAATTTTCTCCTTTTGGAGGTGTATATATATATATCCACAATAAGCAGTTAAGTTAGATAAACTAAACAGATGGCAGTTGTTCAGAAAGTTCATCAACCAGAGTGGTCCTTCCCCATCCAAATCTGCTGACTTTAGCCAATAGCCATGCATCATTTAGGTTCTTGTTCGTTTTCAATTTTTTTTTCTCTCTTTTTGATTGTTCCTCTTCATTTTCAATATATTTCAGGTTCCATTCACTCCCTTATGAAAATGTCCCTAGGAATGTAGCCCATTACAGGATTCATGTGGACAGAAAACTTATTGGTAGCTAATTTAATCAATGAAAATCAATGAAAACTAATGAACTTCAAGAAAGTTTTGGTTCAATGAAGTATTGATCCTTCTTGGAGCATTTCAGAAATATAATCCCAAATGCATCAAATTGATGGGAAAGTGAAGTATTTATCTTAATAGCTGAATATAACAAAATGCAGAAATTTTTAGACCCTTATAACATGCTTTATATTTATCAGGCAAGCTTTATATTTAAATCTGCTATGACATTTTTATGATTAATGCTTATGTTACACATCTATAATCAGAAATCATTTTGTCTCAACTAGGATAATGTTAGTATTGTTACTTGAAAGTTGAAATTGCCAAAAATTGGGGTACTTGCTGGATTAAAATTGGCAGATCGAGATCAGTACTAGATTCAACAAAACAGGCTCAAAAACTAAAAGATATATATCGGCTAAACACCCTATTCCACCACAGTGGATTGATATTTTCCTTGATTGATAGTCAAGAATTGCAGCCAACTGATTATCAAAAGAAACCTGAGATGCCAAAGGAGGGAGAGTGGAAAAAAAACCAACCGATACCTTAGCTTTTTTTTTGAAGATGGAATGGCATGTTTGTATTCTTCCATTTTCAAAAAAAAAAAAAAAAGTTAGATTGGCCAATATTCACCCTGTCTAAGGTGTGATGGAATTTATTCCATTTTATCTTATAATAGAAAAAGATATTTCATTTCTTTTTCACAAATTGAAATGCATGCATTTTCTGGTCCTTTGAACTGCAGTTTTCACTTGGCTACCATGTGCAACATTATTCACCTAGAGAAGTCTACAAGTTAGATATATATGCTCTTCAATGCAAAAGTATTAAGTCCTTTGAAAAATGAAAATAATAAACTACAAAGAAAATATGGGAATTTCAATTATGCTTTTTAAGTTTCAAGTTCGAATCTCACAAGTGGATTAATTTCGTTTAATTTTATATCGATTATTTATTTATTTGACTTGTTTATTAATTTTCTTGAAAAAATAATTTGATTGTGATTGTAATTGCAATTTGTAAGTATAATTTCATAAAAGAAACCATTTGATTATAACTATAAATTTGTCATTACTACTTGTAAATATAATTTCAAGAAAAAGATTTGTGAAAACCTAAGGTTGATGCATATAGGGATGGATCCTTTGGTATTTAATTATTATGATGGACATGTCTATTTGATGAATTCCTGTTAAAATTTGCACTTATCAAATTTAAAATTTAAATTTATTAAATATTATTTTTTTAAAAATTAATACAAAATAAATTTTAAATTTTAAATTCAAACTCGAACAAACTAATGCGTAAGACTAACGAGATAACCAACAACGATGCCCAAAAACATCGCTTACTTGTTCCTTGGGCATGAAATTTTCATTGGGCTCAAATTTAGCCCAAAAATAAACAATGAAGGACCAATTGTAAATGAAACCCAAGACCAAGATGACGCACAAGTTTGATACATTCTTCTTAGCAGCTATCTCAGGATAATAAAATTTTGACCAAGAAAGGTTCAACTGTATGCTCGAGGGCAGCCTGCCCAACCAAGAAAAATTGCCTTCAATTTCAACCCCATCCCAAAGAAAAAATTGAGCTTTCTGAGAATTATAAACTTTTACTTTCTGTCAAACCATTTTGTTTTGGCTAATTTTATTATTGAATTACAATGGAATATTTGCTAGCATTCATTACCCTAATTTATTTAATGAAAAATAGCATATGAACAAGAAAATTTCAAACCCTTGTCTAACAGTAAAGTCAAGAAAAGTTTGGCTGATTGAGATGAAAAAGTAACCCATATTAATTTTGTTGACTATCAAACCAAATTTGATTTTTCTCTTCTTTTTTAACAAAGAATTAAGAATTCTATGTTTCTATTCCCCACTTTGATTTGAACCGTAAGTGGCAGAAGCCAATAGCAATTGGGTTGAACAGCCACTAATTTCTATGCATTATTAGGCGCAAAATATTAAATTTTTAATTTTATATTCTATCTTTGATAATTTTAAATATATATATAGAAGTTTGGTTGAGCAATTGACATTCTAAAACATGGAAAATTCATACAATCTATCAATAAGTGGCCGAAGCCAATAGCATATGGGTTGAACAGCAACTCATTCCCATGCATTATAGTCATAAAATGTTGGATTTTTTATTTTATATTCAATCTTTTATAATTTTAAATATGTATATATAAAATTGTGGTTGAGCAATTGACATTCTAAAACATGGTAAATTCATAAAACCTACCATTTAGAGTTGAAGATTTACCGTAATTTTGCAGGTCATGAGGAGCTTAAGATTAGCCTAGGCTTCAAGTTTCGTGACCAGACGGTCTCAACCACAACCATTTATTTTCCCTTCTCATGTGTCCAAGCCAAATGGAGAACGTAACTTGGTTGGGGTTTTGCCTCACGCTACGTACCAAAATCAGGAAATCAAGTTCCCACCCAAAGCAATTCGAGACAACCAAAAAGTTCTAGTTTTTTGGGTTTATGTTCACCTTATTTCAAGGTCCTAGAATTCTTTACTTCCCACCGGAAATTTCGTGAAACAAATCTATATTGCAGGCTTCAAGGTCATACATAAGACAAGTCCGCATTCAAAAAATCCAAAAACAAGTATTAATGCAAGGTTGATTGGCTTTGAATAATAAGCTTGATATTCAAATTAACAAGTGAGCATCCTGCTAACAAAAAAAAATAATTATATATCAATTATTAAATCAAATATTATTACTGTTAGATTTTTAGCACATGTTTCGATTGCACCGCCCGTCGCCCATAAAAGCTTATTAGATAGTGGAAATGGAATCAGGTTTTCAAGACCAATAATTATGTTTGCAAATCCAAAAAAATTATCCCAAAATGGTAAAAGTTTCATAGTGAATTTTTCTTTTCTACTGCTGAATACTTATGCATGGATAACTTAGCATCAAAGCTACTTCCTGCAGATGCTGTAATCTTCTCGATTCTAAACTAAAATTCTTACTACTTCTTCACGTTTACTTAAACTAACAAAACTATTGTTGATTTTTTTTTTATATATATATGTAACATTAGATTATAGAATACGATTATCATGAAATTTAAAAAAAAAAAAGTTTTAATTTTAATATATTTAATAATAAATTTAAATTTTTTATAAAATTAAATTTTATAATTTTTAATATAAAAAAATAAATTTATAATATAAAAAAATAAAAATTTTAAATGTTAAAAAAAGACATAGTTTTGAATATCTTTAAGAAAAAGATTAAAAAAAAAAAAGTGACAGAGGGAATAAGTAGTAATCTTATTTCATTTTATAGATTTTATACTGTCTAACTTAAAATTTTTAAAATAAAATATTAAACTCTAATCATCGGAATGTCTTGTATATAATCACACAAATTGCTATATAAAATTAAATGTAATTGGTGCAAATTCATGTGCATTTTGTCAGAAACTGACATTCTAAGATTTACAATTAAAAAAATAATAAAACATTGTTGGATCAAGCATCAATATGTCAACACCTTATCCATCACACCCAATCACCACCTAATCCAACGGCCCAAAATTCAAAACTCAAAAAAGGGCAAATAAGAAATCAACTACACCAAATCAAAGCTCCTGTTTTTCTTTTTTGTTTTTTAAATAGTTTTTATTTTAAGCATGTGTTGAGAATGTCCATCTCAAGTGTGTAAGGACATGATCTTAAGTGAGACCTACTCTTTTTTTCTCTGACCGATTATTAAATAGTAAAATTTCCCTAATTTTGTATTTTCATTTTTTTTTTAACCACAACCGTAAATTTCACCACAATTAAAGATTAAAAAAATTAACTAAAACCGGAAGTAATAAAAGCCAGGCCTTTCACTTTTGTTTACACTAGCAACTTAAGTAAATTTAAACTCTATTCATATTCGTTTCTCCTTTTTTTTCTTTTTCTTTTCTTTACCTTCTCCTCCACTTGCACAACATAATATATATATATATATATTTTTTTCTTCGATTTGCTGATCTGCCACTTTGGTCTCGATCTTTGTCTTAAATGGGCACTTGAGATCATGGAGAGGGAAGCTAAAAGAGAGAGGATTTGAAGGGGGAAAGGAGTTGGTAAAGATTGAACTTTTAAGGGGAAATTTAGGTATGGGTCTTTTGTTGAAAGTGTGAAAACGAAGATGGTTTGGAGTAGTTGTTGAAGAATTGTCTAAAGTTTGGGTTTTTAATTCTGGGTTTTGTTTGATTTGCTTGGATTTTGAGTATGGGTGGGTGTTTTCCTTGTTTGGGATCATCAGACAAGGAAGGGAAGAATGGTGGGGGCTCTGTGAAAGAACTGGGCAAGAAAGATTCAACTAAAGAGGGCTCAGTTGGACAGTCTCATCATGTTAATAGAGTTAATTCAGGTAAAAGGCTTTCATTTTCTTAGCCAAATTTTGCTCTTTTTTTTTTGTTCTGTGTTGCTTAACTTTTTGGTTTTTGATCAGCTGGGGCATGTTGAATTATATGTTTTCTTGGTTTTTTTTTTTTGAGTTTTTGATGATAGGTAGCTGTTAGAATATGTTTCTAGTTTGATCTGATACATTGATGGTTGTTTTAGGGTATTTGATTGATTTAGATGGTTTATCAATTTATCTATCTTTTACCTTCGAGTGTTGATGGTTGTTCTTTGATGAATTGTTAGTTAGTGGATATGTTTGAATTTTACCCAGATGGAGGACCTAAGGAGTTATTTGGGAGATCTGCTCTTAGTTTGAGGAAGGCAGATTTTCTAATTTTCTTGTAAATTCTTGTTCATCCGTAATTCTTCCACTTAGAATGTAAAATGCTGTTCCAAAGTCGTAATTTTAATATTACATTATATAATCATCTGAGACTTCACTTTTATGGTTAATTTGTGTGCAAGAGAAACAAGTTTAAGTATTCTATTGAAGTGTATTATGGTGCACAATTCTAGAGCTATAAAAGGGTTCATCTCCATTTCTAGGTGACTAAGGTTTATAGTGGTTGCAAATAAACTTGCAACGAGCATTTGTGCTCACTTTATGCCACAATTACAGGAAGATGACCTTTAACTTTTGACCCTTTTAATTGTAATTCTATTGTTCTCTATTTTCCTTCTTTCATATATTAATATATCTGATTCACTTATTTGAACAGAAAAATCAAAATCTTGGAGTGCTTCTGAGCCTAAGAAGGAACCAGCAGTACCTAAGGATGGACCAACAGCAAATATTGCAGCACAAACATTTACCTTTCGAGAGCTTGCTGCTGTCACTAAGAACTTTAGACCAGAATGTCTATTAGGAGAAGGGGGTTTTGGACGTGTTTACAAGGGCCACTTGGAGAGTACAGGACAGGTCTGTAACAGATACTTGAAATAGATCTAAATGACTGTGGTTTAAACATGTTCTTATGCTATGTGATTGCACTTAAGTTGCTTGCTTTATCTGATAGACTTGGGATCCCCATGATGTTAAATATGCTCATAGTGTAAGTTTTGTAATCTTTTACTATTTATTTTGAATTATGGGTGTGAAGACTATGAATCATATTAGTTTAATCTATTCTTTAATAATTGTTTTATCTTTTCAGGTAGTTGCTGTCAAACAGCTTGATAGAAACGGGCTTCAGGGAAATAGAGAATTTCTTGTTGAAGTTCTTATGCTTAGCCTCTTACACCACCCAAACCTCGTCAACTTGATTGGTTATTGTGCCGATGGGGACCAACGCCTCCTTGTCTATGAGTTTATGCCTTTAGGATCATTGGAGGATCACTTACACGGTAAGGGTTACATTTTTTTGGTGTTCATGATACTTGAAGTCCTCTGGCTTTTGGTTTGATTGCAATGTCAACTTGAAAACTGAATGACATACTAGGAGTAATTATGCATGGCTGTTTTGCTTTTGCCTGTCTTCAGGAACTACAATTTTTCAATTGAGTGAATTGCAATATAAGGCTTGTAGCCTTAATTACTAATTATTTATTGATGAAGCCGCATTTGATTGACTTTGGTAAAACAATACTTCCTTCTATTGAGGTCTTTTAACATGTTATGAAGAGTTAATTCCTGTTAGAATAAGATATCATGATTTGTAGAATTCTAATGCAGGCAGAATGGTTTTTGTTTCTGAAAAAATGGTCTGTTGCTGATTGTTTTTGGTTTCATCTATGCTACTAGACAATAAGTAACTAGACATTCTATTGCTTTGGTGCCCAGCCTCTTCATGACCCCGTTTTGAGCTCTCCTAAAGATTTTTGGCATATTTTGAAGCACTGCATGGACATAGATTGAGGCTGTGTCCACAAGTGTCTTTATGTGTGATTTTTTTAGGTGTTTGGTTATATGCATCTTTTCTTTCTTGTGGTAAAAACCAAGATTATTTGAGTAATAAACTAGAGAGAAAGTCTACAGCTGTGTATAAACGTAGATTTCTTTGCTAGAGATGTGGATTGCCTAATATTCAATATGATTCCACAAGTTCCAAACTAGGTTTAAGTTTCCAAAAGTAAAAGGCTGACTTACATTTTGCCCAACAAGGTTGGTAGTTAGTTGTAATGTGGAGAAAAAGAGAAATTATGAAGTTAGCTAAGTAGCTTCTGCATGAGTTTATAAGACCTTAAGAAATGAAGTATGACCTTTGGAGAAACTAACCTGTGACTCTATACCGGCAAAATTCTACTTTGATTAGCTTGTTGCTTGCTTTTGTTTGGTTATTTAACAAGTTTGGATGTCAAAAGAAAATGTCTTGGTGATATACAAATGAACCATCTGAATTACTAGCCAGCTTCCTTACAGCATCAACAATTTTCCCGGAAGTATAAACATTTATGCTAAAATTCTCTGGCATCAACGAAATATAAAGATGAAATCTAGCTTCACTTGTTACTATGAAAATGGCCCCGTGATGTTATTATTGTGAGAATAAACCTACACACATGAATAGAATATATCTCTAAGTAGCTGGACATAAGAGTCTTCACTCTTGATAGTAAGCCATCAATGTGGAATCATCTCATCCTTGAAACTATTCTGTTGGCTTGAGTTTTTAATTGACATCTCTCATGAGTAAAACTTTTAAATTGTGTTTCACTGATACTCTTGTACTTAGGGTTGCGCTCAATTTTAGCTGTATACTCTTCAGTGGCTTATTTCGCACTCATTTCATTAGATTAGATAATCACACTTTTGGCAGACCACAATGATTTCTTTTTTTTGTAAAAATTGTTTCCAGATCTTCCACCAGACAAGGAACCTCTGGACTGGAATACTAGAATGAAGATTGCAGCTGGTGCAGCCAAGGGATTGGAATACTTGCATGATAGAGCTAATCCTCCTGTTATATACAGGGACTTAAAATCATCCAACATCCTTCTTGACGAGGGCTATCACCCTAAATTATCAGATTTTGGGCTTGCAAAACTGGGTCCCGTTGGTGACAAAACCCATGTGTCCACACGTGTGATGGGCACTTATGGATATTGTGCTCCAGAATATGCAATGACTGGCCAGCTCACCCTAAAATCTGATGTCTATAGTTTTGGAGTGGTCTTTCTTGAGCTTATCACAGGGCGCAAGGCCATTGATAATATGCGTGCTTCTGGAGAACATAATCTTGTTGCATGGGTAAGGCTCTTTATTCCTCTATCCTGCCATGATTCCAACATAAGAAATTTCTTCCAAAGTTTATGCTTATGCAGAATGACTGTTATATTTTACTTATTACTGCTTTGACTTAAAACAAGCTTTCTTGTATTTCTTTTCTATCTTGTGAAAATGGGGGTTTGTAGGCCCGACCTCTTTTCAAAGATCGGAGGAAGTTTCCCAAAATGGCTGACCCACTACTGCAAGGTCGTTATCCAATGCGAGGATTATACCAAGCTCTTGCAGTTGCAGCAATGTGTTTGCAGGAACAAGCTGCTACAAGGCCTCTAATAGGCGATGTTGTGACAGCCCTTACATATTTAGCCTCGCAAATCTATGACCCAAATGCACCCAGCAATCAAAGCAACAGAGTTGGCCCATCAACTCCAAGACCCAAGGATGATCGAAGGAGTATGGCAGATGGGCTTGACATCCCAGATGAGCGTGGACAGCATGGTTCTCCATCCACTCACAGAAATTCACCTGATTACAGAAAGAGGAATCATGCTAGGGAATTGAGCACCGGTGCAGAGTTAGTTAGGAATGAAACTGATGGAGGATCAGGGAGGAAATGGGGTTTGGACGATTCAGAACGACAGGAATCTCATAGAGGCAGCCCTCTGAATGCTGTGAGAGCAAGGGAAATTCCACGTAATCGTGATCTTGATAGAGAACATGCTGTTGCAGAGGCTAAAGTATGGGGTGAGAAATGGAGGGAGAAAAAACGGGCGAACCCAATGGGTAGCTTTGATGGTATGAATGACTAATTCAAGCGAAGACATAGACATGTTGTAACATTTTAAGGGTTGTCAATGGAAAAGAAGAAACATTGAAGATACACCATCCATCCTTTACCGTCAGTCTCCATATCTACCCAGGAAATAAGAGTTCATGCATGTATCCAACTTTGACAGTTGTTGCTTGTCCTATAATCATTCTTGTAGTTGAGTATCAAACTGAATGCTTCAATTATGTGGTTGAATGAAGAAACACGGTTAAAGAAGGGATCGAGAGCGGTTAATTGATGTGAGGCATTCACAGGTAAATTCTGCAGCCAAAAAAAATGTTGTATGCAACATGTTAATCTATATATTTAGGCTTTTTTTTATTATTTTATTCTGAGATTCATGTTACAGGAGATGTTATAGGCTTAGTGGGTTTTGTGTGGATGTCTCGTACAGTTGTTGTGTATGGATTTCTGAGTCGGTCCTGTATTCGGCTTATACAAAGAGAGGTTTCGTGATATTGTTTTTCATGTATTATCATTATCATCATATCGTTCTCTATGTAATTACTTCTTTCCTTTCACCATCTCTCTCTTCTAACTAAACTGAATGGCTTGCTGCCGATGATTCGAGTTCAATTGGGTTGTTGGCATCCAATTTAAGGTGTTTTGATTGTTTAATGTCCCGAAGACAGAATTCACATGCAGACGTCAATGCACTCACTGGTAGATATGGGACAATCGACTACCTCGTCAGCCAAAAAGTTCAGACGTGCATACTTCCGACTATCCCTGTTTTTTTCTCGCATTATCTACATTTCCACATTAATGACAAAACAGAGAAATCATATGTACCAGACGACGATAAACAAAAAAATTTAGGTACATATCAGTCAAGATTCCATTGAATTTATAAATCGAAAATCGAATTGCGAAAGTTCAATCATTACTTAGGAGTGTAAGTAAAGAGTTTTTAAACAACTGTTCGTTCGTGAATATATTTGATTTTTATTTATTTATATTTATTTATTAAATTTAATAAATAATTTTAAATATAATTTATATTTTTTTATTAAACAAATCAAGCACGAATAATTATTTATTCATTTATTTATGTTCATGAATAAATTTATTTATGATTCGTTTAAAACTTGTTTGTTTATTATTTGTTATTATTCGTTTGTTGTCTATAATAATACTAATAAAATTATATTTTTATTATTTATTTTAATCTTATTTTAATGTTCATTTTTATTTATTTGGATTTATTTATATTTATTTAAGTTTGTTTATGGCTTGTTTGTTTAAATTTATTTAGTTATGATTTGTTTATTATACATAAATATATTTATTTATATATGTTCGTAAATATGTTTGTAAATATATTCGTTTAATGTTTATAAATAAACTTATTTAATTTAATTGAACGAATACAAATCGAACATAAATAATTTATTATTTAAATGAACGAACAAAATAATTTCTTGACAAATATGAATAGATTATGAACATTTTTAAAAATAAATGAATATAAATATATGTTTTTTCATTCATATTTGGTTAGTTTAAAATGCTACCCTCGTTGACATTTTAAATGCAAAATTTGCCAGCCTGTTAAAATGAAACCACATTTAAAATCTTTCTTTTGATAAGAAAGTTCCCAATTTGCTTCTTTAATATAAAAAATAATAGAGAAAATTATCATAGTTGTCTAAAGCCATCGCTTTTATACCTGTGGTAGACTATATTTCAGGAAAAATTGATAGGCAGCCAAGTACAGATGGTGTCTTACGACAAATATAACTAGTTCTGTCCAATTCTGAAGTCCATACCAAAAGCCAGAATCTAGCATGCAAATGCAAACTACAGCCCAACCCATATTTGTAGTTCATATTAGTGATATTACTTCCTCTTTTTTCCCTGTAAAATGAGGCAAGTTTTATTAAATTATTAAGTAATAAAATTTATTTATTCTATTAATTAAGAATTTTTTTTTAATTTTTAGATAACAAATCAAAATAAAAATAATTTAAGGAATTTTTTATATAGTAATAAAACTTAAGGATAAAATTTAAAAAAAAAAAAAAACCTTGACTGGCCGATCACCATTTGGACCACAAATGGCTAGTGAATGATTGACTAATTTTTCACCGTGCTAATTCATTAGGATGCAAAAATTATAATTTATACGTCTTTTGATTGCAATCTCACAGCCTTCCATGATGATTCCATGGTCTTACTTTTATGGGTTGATCGTTATTAACAAATCAAAACAGTTGCCAATTACTTTTAGTGGAGAATGGAGATACACGATCAAATCCAAGAGTTGCTAACTTCTAGTGGGGCCTCCTTGTCTGTCACGTATTCGATAAAGTAGATAGAATTACAATTAGGGATGAGAATTCAACTCTGACTCCGACGGGTTTCGATCCGATTCGGTCTTATGAGGTAGGATTTTTTTTTTTTGAATTTCGGATTTTGGGTCGGGTCGGGTCGAGTCGAGTAATGTTAGGAAAATAATCGGGATCGGATTTTAGGCATATCCGATTCTATCCGACCCGATATTATTTAAAAAATTATTTTTTAATTAATTTTTTAATTATTTATATATATATTTATATAATTATATTTTTAAATATTTATATTTAAAAAATAATATTTTTATTAATTTCGAGTCGAATCGAATCGGGTACGGATTATATAATATCGGGTTCGGGTCGAAGTCGGGTATGAAAAAATAAAAAAAATTTCGAGTCGGGTTTATTGATGATAAAATCGGATCGGATTCGGAACGAGCAAAACCCGACCCGATGTCAACCCTAATTACAATCCCCGTCTGCTTAAAATTCTAAAAATTTATTGATTGTTAGAACAGATTATAATTTTTTTTATTTTAATTCTATTATTATTTAGTTATAATAAAAAATTATATAAAATATATATTATTTATAAATGTGAATTTTATATAAAATTTTATTAATTTTTTTAACCTATAACATACATCCAAAACATATTGAAATTTAACTCATAAAAATAAAGTTTCAATTCAAATTAGAATCAAAATTATTGTTAAAAATCATGATCATGATCATCACCATCAACGAAAACAGACGAAGCATGGTTCGTTTCGTTGAAAAGCTGTTGTAGAAGGAAAGAAAATAAATATATATCTAACTTTAATTATATAAACATGATATTCAAAATAAAGAAAAAAAATAAAGTCACGAAGATGCATGAGATCCCACGTTCTGAGTCTCGAGCTGCTAGTTATACGCGGCTCGGAGCTCCCATCTCTACGTCGCCACCGTAAGCTGCTGGCTATTCGCCCTGGTCATCATCGTTTGCACCATTTCGGCAGGCTCCCATGCATTTATATATGATTAAGGTTATGAGAAGAGCAGCCATGGCAAACAAAAGCAAAGCTATAGTTGCCCCTATCCCATTAAACTTGAAGGTTTCGGAGGTGGTAACAGTAACACTTGATGACGATGAGCTGTTATTTGTATCCATTTTTAGTTGAAGCTAGCACAGTTTTTTTTTTGTCTAAAGAAATGGAAGATACAGAAACACGCAGAGAAAAGAGGGAAGAAAGAAGAATGATGGAAACCAGTTTCTTTGAACTAAGAATGCCCAACACCAGTCTATGCCTTTATAGGATCAAGGGGGAGAATCAGAGCGTACACGTGGTCTCTACCCATTTGCAAATTGAGATGAACAGTTTCTTTGAACTAAGAATGCCCAACATCAGTCTATGCCTCCATAGTATCAAGGGGGAGAATCAGAGCGTACACGTGGTCTACCCATTTGCAAATTGAGATGCTGAAGGGAAGAAAGAAGAATGTTGGAACCAGTTTCTTTGAACTAAGAATGCCCAACATCATTCTATGCCGCCATAGTATCAAGGGGGAGAATCAGAGCGTACACGTGGCCTACTCAGTTGCAAATGGTGATGCTGATGGCCCCAGTTTCTTCGAGCTAAGAATGGCCCACATCAGTCTACCTCTGTAGTATCGAGGGGGAGGATGTCAAAATCACCCCAATTGCAAATTGAGATTTACGACGCTAATGTCTATGCCTGAGATCTAGAAGGTATCTAATATTTCTTTAATTTGTGGATATTTTATGTACAAAGTAAGGAATCAATTTAATTCCACTCAATTTTAGAAATACTAAAATTGTTGTAATTTTTTTATACTTATCCATTAAATTTAATAAAAACATAAAGTAAAAGGTAAAATCATATATATTTTATTGTATATAAATATAAATATAAATTTTTATTTCTTATTTCTTATTTATTCAAAAATATTTTTTTTGCTTTATATATCGAAATATATCTTTTGCAAAGTAAAATATAAATAATAAAAGCAATAATCAAGTCATTCCCAACTCAATTTATAAACTTAAAAATGATATGTTGATTTTTTTATTAAATTTACTCTTCTTATAATATTTAAAATGATTAAATTTCAAGCAAAAGTTAAAATTTAATGATCAATGTAAAAAAAAATTATGTATTTATACAATACGGATTAATATATGAATATGACTCTAATTAAAAATATCGTTTAGCTATTTCTAATAGTCAAAACACTATCTTCTAATGGTTTGTTATTGTTTTTGAAGCTTTCAAATTTACAATGTCTGATATTCTAAAACGTTCAAATATATGGTATAAATTAGTTTGGCATGTACTTTTTTTATGTAATAAACGTTTGTATCTAACTTTTCCATGGTGAAGCCATACATAGCTCATAATTTCTGATTTTAATGGCTCCTGTTTGAAAATGGTTCCTCTTGTCTGATTTTAACATATAACGTTAAATGTTTTCAAATTTTTTTTAAGGGGCCGAAATTTGCAAATTTTTTAAGAGAGCCGAAAAAAAAACAAGGCCGTTCCACTAATTTGTTTACAAATAATAGATATACAAATAAAAAAAATAGGGGTAATTCGTTTATATTTTACTCATTTTAAATTGAAATAATCAATTTATAATTTAATTAAAATAAAATTTATAAGCAAAGATACTTTAATTTTTAAGTGTTATTCTTGATTTAGATTAATGCTGTATTTATCAGTTTTTTCTATAATTTGTATGAGCAAAGGATTGCTTACTTTGTAAGACACTGCTTAAAGTTATTTAAAGTTGTTAATTTAAAGTCAAGGCAAAAAACAACCAAACCAAAGCTACGGTTGAACTGAGGAAGCAACTGATGAGCTGGATTCCACTTTCTTCTCCCGTCTTAAGAATATTGAACATTAGAACAAGAAAGACGAAGTTTAGCGTGTGCTTCGTTGAAAAACTCACGAGATTAGTTTTCCACTTTCTTCTCTTATCTTGAGAAGATTAAACATTAGAACGAGACGAAGTTAAGCTTGTGTGCTTTATTGAATTACGAGATTAGTTTCCGTGGTAAGTTGTTAATGGTTTGGAATTTTTCTTCCACTTCTCTTTACCCTTCTATTATGCTTTGTTGCTAGTCTTTTTGTGTTTTAAACTCAAGATATGTCAAGATAGATAGATAAACTTAATCCTTAAATAATTAATCATAACATAGTAAGAACTTTATACATATATAAAAAATGTACTCAAAATTAAACATACACATGATTCGTTTTGGTGATAACCAGACATAGGAGGAATGAAGATAAATATATACCTAACTTTAATTATATAAACATGATATTCAAAATAAAGAAAAAAAGTAAAGCATACGGATATATGTTATGAGTCTCCAGCTGCTAGCTCTACGTCAACCGCGGACATCAACTTCAGCACCATATGATCAATGTTGTTTTCGGCGTGTTAGATGTTTGACTAAGACTAGTGAGGGCCTCAGCTACAAACACCCAAAAAAAAAAATACTAGCATCTATTATATAATTTTAAGTTTCCTGATTTTGTATCAAAATAGACTAAAGTGAATATGAATCTTGACCTAACTTTTCCACATAATTTCTGAGTTTTAATGGCTTCGGTTTGCATGTGGTTCCTCGTGTCTTTTGATCCCGACAAGTAGGCCCGACAAGAATGCACACAAGCGCTTGCGAAACCTAGGCCTCTTGGCTACCCATTGAGGGTCATAACACCTTTTTCCGTGGGCGGATCCACCTTTGAAATTGGATGTTTATAGACACTTCCTAAAAATAAAAAATAAAAAAAATCCTGAATATCTCTAAAATTTTTACAATTACAATTTCACTTGCTTCGGTTCATGCACTGACATTGCCCCTTTTTCTTTGGAGGATATATAGCTTTGCGCCAATTTATTAACTTAACATGAGAAACACAAGGAACAAATTTTCAACAAAGGCTACTAAAAGTTGAATCAATTAACAAATTTTCACTTGCTTTATGCGAAGGAAAGCTTGGTGGACTTTCCATGGAATTTCCCAATGGTGCCTCCCAAATGTTGAAAACCAACTTGGAAGCATGGCAGACTAAAACTGTGCACCTTCCACAAAGTTGTATATAGCGCCCACTAAAACGATGCATGGCAGACATCTCCTTGATGGCCATTTCGAAACTTCAAACTTCCCAGCAACTAGTAATTCCTCACAGATGTATCTCTGAGAAATTAGAAGAGTAAGAATCATGATAACGAGAAAAAACAGAGAGACTAATAAGCAAAGAAAGCGTCAAGCAACTTACTCTTTCCTCGAGATTAACAAGAAACTTTACAGATCGCAAGACTAGGCGAAATCAACGTATTTCATTCATCCAGTTATCCCGAGCTGATTTTGGAGCCACAACCCAATGAGGGCCAATAATTCATCGGTACTCATGCAGATAGCCCAATGAGGAGATAGTTTGCAAAGTTTTACCCAGTCCCTGCATTCAAAAGATTAGTAAACAAACTTCAGCTAATAACATATCCCTGATCAAGCTTATTGTGATCTTAAAAACAAGCATTGACAATGAACTTAAACAATAGACAATCTTTAAAAGTTATGGTTACAGCACATACCCTTTTGTCTGCAAGAATTCCATTTATACCATTCTCATACAGTCGTACAAGCCAGTTTACAACAGCAAGTTGGTAGTCCCTCATCTTTCCCTAAATACCTGGAAAGGAAAAAGAAAAAAGTAAAGAGCATATAAAAGATAAACGAAACCACTTGAACTGAGCACCCTTTCCAGGCTCCACTAAAAAAAATAAAAAACACGTATAAAGCTATCAAAATTCTCATTGATAGTTTGGATGGCCATTTTGAATCGACTAAGTACCCTTTCCAGGTTCTACTCGTCGAGTATATCAGACACTACTCCCTGTATTCTTTGTACTGAGAAAGCAGAATGTAGGATTATCTGTTTTTCTTGTGTTGTTATGGTCGGACAGTTTGGAAAAGTGTTCATAGGGTGTTTGGAGAGAGAATGAGAGAACTTACAAGAAGGCTGAGTCACCAATCGAGTGTTTCCAGACAAACCAACTTCTTCCTCCTTGAGGCACTCTTCATCTTCTTCCTCTTCAGTTATTTTTGATGCATGATGCACCTAAATTTAACAAGTGGAAGAAACCATTAGTATGAAAATCATTAAAAACCAAATAGAAAACAATACCGATCACTTACAAGCAGTAGTATCATGAAAACACCACAAACAGGACAAATCATCTTTTTCAACATCTTTAGCAAAAATAGTAGACATGCATACCTTTCCTTCACCTTCCTTTGTGTTGTTGAATGGTCACCTTTAGCAAAATGAGCAAACAACTCCGTTGGCTGCAAAAGAAACTTCAACCCCCCCCCCCCCCCCTTCCCCCTGTTATTCTGCCTTCAAACCAGACATTAGTGAACCAAATAATACACTTAAAATTAGCTGAACGCCAACTTTTTCCATAGAATATACACCATATTGGCATTTTAAGCATCCAATGTTTCCTGAATCTTCTGCTTCTTTAGTTTCTGCTTTTCTTTTAGACTCTCCTTTTCTCGCTTACCAACTTCAGGATCAGCCCGGTTAGACTCATCCTACATGGATAAGAAAAGACTCAAATACCATAAAATCTAAATATAAATAACAATAGAGTTTAAATTAAGCTTAAACCGTAGAACCAAAAATTATTCAAAAGTGGAAAGACTAAAGGCGGAAAAGTAAAATTTTACAATCATTAGTAAACCTTAACTAGAAATAACGAGCAAAAAACTAGATCCGACAGCCAAAGTTGTAAAAATTGGAAAGCAAAATAAAGAGAGCATTTTAAAGAGGGGAAATAATAAAATTACCTCGTCAGCGTCGTCAGTATTCTCTTCAGCGGCGGCGTCATCGTCTTCGTCGGAGGCAGCGGCAGAACGAGCAACGGCTTTCAGCTCTTCTTCGTCGTCTTCGTCGACGTTGATCTGGTCGTCGATTCGCTCCTCTTCTGATGAATTGAAGCAGTTGGATAGGGCTTCATCGGACAACGCCGGCTTCGACGATTTTGCCATCTCTGTCTAAAATGGAGGGTTTCTTTTATTTTCAAGAAAGAAGGGGAAAAACTGCCAAAAAGAGAGAACGAGCTTTGGTATGCAAAGAAGGCTCCAAATAAAAATGAGAAGTAAAATTAAGAGGATTGCTGGGGCAGTCGAGCATTTTTCATTTTTTGAAAAGCGAGTATTGTGGTGACTGACCCTAGATAGAACTTGTAGCCGTTGGATTTGGCCATTTAGGAGAGTGGAGTTAATTAGAGTTGACAGATTCCGTCGAGTTTCGATTATAATATTAAAAAAAATCAAGATCAAGTATTTTAAATAAATTCGATATGATATTATATAAAATTATTTTTTAATTTTTTATTTATATATATATAGTTATTTAAAAAATAATATTTATATTTTAAAAAATAATATTTTATTAATTTTAATTCTATTCAAATTAAAATATAAAAAATTAAAAAAATTTTAAATCGAATCAAATTCAAATTTTATTATTATAAAATCAGATTAAATCAAAACGAATAAAAATTTATTTTGATTCGATCTGTTATCAATCTTAAAATTAACGTTTCAAGTGTCATAAGTGTCAAATGAAGAATTTCATACCATTTATAGGGAAACGAGGAATTTCAATGTCCTTATTCTAAACTCAAGTATCATAACATAAAATTTAATTTAAATTTCTCAAAAGTTTTAAAATTTTTAGACTAGTGATTAAAAATATTTTAAAAGACATCAAAAGTTTAATTTCAAATAAATTTTTTTTTCTTTATTTGAATTAAAATTTTACACTCATGATGTAACAAAAAATAAAATTCAAACTTGTCAAATATGTTATGATAGATAAACTTAATCATAGTAAAATCTTCATGCTTGTATGATATGTCAGTAGATATAATGTACTCGGGATAAAACCTACCCAAAACACGTTGAAATTCAACCCCAATAAAAAGGGAAGTTCCAATCCCGAATACCTATCATTTTCCACGGATACTGGAAACATCTAAAATTCAATAAAAAAAAGAGAGCTGTAATAATAACAAACAACAACAACAAACAACGTGACAGCCACATTTTAATATAATTCAACAGCTTATTCTTCAGCAGTGGAGCTTGTGATACTGATCGATCATGGCTGCTGCTGGTCACAACCTGAAACAGGAGGAATGAAAATAGACATTGTAAAAAGCAGTATTCTGAGAAGAAAGATTCCATTGCCAAATACATTAAGTAACCACAAAATTATCAAACATCACAAACACAAGAACAGAACAAAGCAGGTTGTTGGTATAAAATAATCATGTGTGGTTTTCCGATTTTGATTCTAAGAATCTAAGTTGTAGCTACGGACTCAGTTTGCAGCTCAATCACGATACCCACACATATGCTCCTCTCCTCCCCTTATTCTTCCATGATTGCGTCATCAATGTAATACCCTGCAGATTCAAACACGCCAGCATGGCTGCTACTTTGATCCGCTCATACTTCCATAATTTGCTCTCTCTCTCTCTGTCTGAAACTTGTTAATTTTTACTCTAAATCCTGTCCAAAAGGTCTTATCTACGGTGTCTGCCTCGTTAATGCAATTCCCCTGCCACTCTCAACAGTGGCTTAGCCAGAAAAAATTTTCAGTGTGGGATCATATATATATAACGACTGTAATTATATTTATAAACATTATATTTTTATTCATTATTAAAGAAATATCTGACTATATATTCAAAATAAGAAGAAAGTAAAGATACTAACTGTAAGTTACAATGAACAGAGTACCTGATGGGAGCACATCTGAGTTTTGAGCAGCTAGTTCTATACCGACTTCAGCATCATTTGGACGGCATCTGAAACATTTATATTTGATCGTTAAAACAATAAAGAATATCCAAATACAAATAAAAAAAGTTGTATAGTTTTTTTCCTAATTATTGTATTCTTTGTTGATTGGAACTGGTCGCTTCCAGTTGCTTGGTTAAAATCATTCCCATAAGCTCGCTCACAGGGAGATCGCTCAGAAACTGAAAATAAAAGCGCATTTCAACAGAATCTCATAAATATATATTAAATATATATAAATAATATATAGATATATATATATATAGATAATATCTATAAAATATAGATAGAATAAGAACAGACAATATGGCTAGTAAAATGAAAGCCACAGTTCCCCCTTTCCCCGTAAACTTGAAGGTTTCGGAGATGGTAACACCCATGATGATGATGATGAGCTGTTATTTGCCTCCATTGTTAGTTCAAACTAGCACAAATGTTTTCTATCCAAAGAAATGGAAGATATAGGGGGTGAGTACTGCGAGCCAGCAAAATAAGAAGCTGGAGGACAAGGAAACAGGCAGGAGGAAGAGGAAGAAAGAAGAATAATGGCCGGGTCTGTTTTTTTTATGGGCATAAGTTTTCAATTTATATGGGTTTTCAATTTGCACCGTGTGACCGCTTCCTTATGGGAGCAAAGATATTGGTTGTTGACACTGTTTTCATAGGTTTCATAGGATGCTGACACTCACCGGAATTTTTTGCTTTTTCCTGGTTGGCTTGAGTATGTTTCCAATGGAAAAATGGAAAAATGGAAAAAAAATAAAAAAAGAACTCTAGAATTTGATGACACGTATAACACCGATAGATGATGTACTCAAATGATAAAGCATTTCATCGTTACGTTATGACAAATAGTAACAAAAATATAACAACCACGTAAGACTAACTAAAAGGCAAAAGAAGTATTACTAATCAATTAATTTAGAGATCATAAAAAATGATATTTAACTTAGAAATATTTTCGAACTTTTAATTTAATGATTAAAAGTATATGAAAAAACATTAAAGATTTAGTTTTAAATCAAAACTCTTTCTTTTTTTTTACTTGTATTAATGTTTTATTCTTCTAATGTAAAAAAAAAAAAAAACCTAAAAGCATAATTTTTAAAGCACACCATTAATTCTTATCCGTTAGCATTATAATCTCTTACAATACTTTGACATATATTAAAAGTGGAATCTTTTTTTTTTTAACTAAACAACAGAAAATAATATGATTAATATATGAAATAAATTAATGTGACAAATATTAAAAGTGGAATCTCTCTTTTTTAAATTAAATAAGAGAAAGTAACAGAATTAATATATGAAATAAATTAGTGTCACAAATATTAAAAGTGAAATCTCTTTTTTTTTTGCTAAACAAGAGAAAGTAACAAGATTAATATATGCAATAAATTAGTTACACTTTAGTATGATTATTATATTTATTTTTTTTAATATTATTTCCAAATCAAGCCGATTAGAAATGTCCAAAAAGTTAACAAAAAATATAAAATCAAGTATCACAATTCTAAAATTAAATGCATAAAATTTATGTAATAAGACAATTAACTAATAAAGCAGCACAATTTGATTTTGTAAAATACTAACTACATTAATAACCGATGACTTAATTTTAAATGAAATTAAAGGAAATCTATTATTATATTATTATATTTTTAAAAAATAGCAAATAACATATTTTCACCACATTGAAATGCTCTCTAAAATGATAAACAACAATTATTAAGTTCTATTTTGATTAAATTTGTTAAGAGATTAATTTAGTTAATTAGATTCTATTAAAAAAATTACAAAGAAAATATATTGTAA